GTGTGTGTGTGTGTGTGTGTGTGCACAATTTACATTGAACAGTGACGTGCAGTCAGGGGAGGCAGAGCCTCACCGCTGTCATCATGAAAAGAAAAAAAATGTAAAAGGAAAAAGGCAAGAGCTGAGGTCAGGCTGAGCTAGTTGCTGCCAGAGTCATCTGGCTTAGCAGATGACTCTGCTAAGTGCTTAACTGTTTAAAAAAGCCTCTAAAAAAGCGTCCTCTACAGGAGGAGGCAGGAGAACAACGTGCCTCATCTAATCTGACTTTAGGCATTTTATGATCACTTGAGCAGAGTTAAGCAAGGGTTAAAAGTCTAACCTGATGTAAGTGAGGCACGTCGTTCTCCTCCTTCCTCCTGTAGAAGGCGCTTTTTAAGAGGCTTTTTAAACAGTTAAGCAGAGTCATCCACGGTGAGGCAGCAACTAGCTCAACCTAACCTCAGGTCTCACCTTTTTCCTTTTACATTTTTTTCTTTTCATGATGACAGGCAAGAGCAGAGTTGAAATCCTCTCTGAAACAGCTGGAAAAGGCACATTTGGGTCAGACGGAGGGGGAGGAATTCAAACTTCATCCTCGGAGGGAGAGAGGGAGGAAGGAGGGGAAGGGAGAAGAAAAAGAAAAAGAAAGAAGGAAACTTATTTTGCAAAGGACAAAAACAAATGCTGTCGCTTTAAATCGGAACTGAGCATGCCTGGCTGTGGAGTTGAAGTCCACAAGTCTAAAAATATTTGAAAAATGTGTGTCAGTGCCTCACCAGCCATAAACCTCACTACATGTCACTGACATGCATGCATGCCTCACTCGAGCGGGTTGCAAACCAGTAGTAAAACCAGCAGCAATCCACCCCTGGTTTCCATGATATATTTCCCAATGTCTTTGCTGACCTAAAAGCATTGAGGAAACTCCTTTTCTTTGTACTGTTGTGTTGCTGTACAATTGCATTGATCCAATAAGAATATCTTTCAAGGAGGAAGTTTCCCTGCACAAAATGCGTTTTACCAGAGGCCCAGACAGAAAGCCATGAAAATAAATCCCCAAATAAAATGGATTATGCTGAGCATTTGCTTCAGCTTCATCACTTGTTTTTATAGACTGCCTTGCTAATCCTGGAGATTAAACATCAAATCATAGATATTTACATAAATATTTTGGCTTTTAAAAAATAAAAACCAGAGAAAGCTAAACTTTAAAAACTATATTTGATTTAGTCAATGAGGATTTCAAGGCTTGAACCATAAACCATTCTTTTTTTTAAAAGTTATGATCATAGTTAATTAAACCAGCTGATGCAGGAGGCTAGTACAAGTAAATATTTGGGTCACATGGTACAAAGTGACGTACATTTGATTTAGGCACTTAATAACATTTAATTTGAGGGAACTTTCCAGGATTTAAGATTTTTCATTTAAAATACTGTACCAGCAAAGTTTTTTGAATCACATAAAACCTAAGGGATTTAGAAAAATCCACCTTAAATAAGAGTTTTGTTTGTTCATTGTTCCATCTTCTTCCCCAGATTTGATAAACATTTGAGCTGGAAAAGAATGTTCAGCGTCCACCCGTTTAAGTTGTAGCAGCTAAACATCTTCCATAAACTTTTAGATTTTCAAATCAGTATCCCTGCATAGGCAACATTGTGTTCCTAACCACAATGATAAAACATTACTTCTTCCCAGAACATAGTGATTTATATTTAGCATATGTGTTACTGTATGTATGTATGTATGTATGTATGTATGTATGTATGTATGTATGTATGTACTTGACGTTCATGAGAAAGACTAGATAAAAATTAACTGAGTTTTTTAAATAGTTTGTCAATATATAAAATACCAAGAAAAATGAAAATGCTACCGCTTCCCCCTTCTCCCTCTCCACTCCCACTGTTAGCCAATCCCATGCAAAAAAGGGAGCTAACAGAGAGGGGAGAGTGCAAGTTTGCTATTTCTGGGACGGGGACCGGGAAGTGTCTGAGTCTGCCTTATCCGACTTCTCTTTCTCTCACAGCCATCTTTCCCAGCTTAGCTTGATGCAAGCTTCCTCCCCAGCCCCCCGTCCATTTTCCTCCCTGATAACTGGACAAAGCTAGGCAAAAAGCCAGCCTTCACTGGTGCCCACCTTCACTGACAACAGGCTTGGAAAGGACAATGTGAGCTGCCATCTGTGTCAAGCTAGACTGGGGAGGGAGGGCGTGTGAGTGAGCCAGCGGTGCTTTCCTCCAGCCTTCGCCCAAAGCCCCACGCTGCACCAGGAGGCTGAATTACTTCCTCCCGCTCCAACCTGCTTGTACCTTGGCATCCCAATAAAGGCAGCTCTGCAGGAAAATTGGGCATCCCAATTGGGCATCCCAATACAGGCAGATCTGCAGGAAAAGAAATTTCTTTTTTTGCTGAGCCGAGCTGATGCAGGTTCGCATTGTGGCTCCACCTCATAATGGGCTTTGGGAGGAGGACGAGATTCCGTCTCCCCCATTGTAAAGTGCAAGAGTGAAAAAGTTCACTGAATCAATTCCAACTTCACGAGATCTTTTTCTTTCACAAGAAGTTGGAATTGATTGAGTGAAACGTAATGGAGAAATGCGATTGGATTGGGTATAAGGTCTGTTGCTTTAGTAGCGAACTAGACTAGAAAATCTTCAAGTTCCCTTCCAGTTCTACTTCTATTCTATTCCATTCTATTCTTAATAATTGAAAAATAGTTAACAATTTACAAAGGTGATTAAAAATAGAATTTACAAACTTAATGTCCATTGGAAAGGTTCCAAATGTTTTTAGCTAAGATGGCTTTTCCTCATCTCTCTCTCTCTCTCTCTCTCTCTCTCTCTCACACACACACACACACACACAGAGAGAGAGAGAGAGGGGGGGAGAGAGAGAGAGAGAGAGAGAGAGGGAGGGAGGGAGGGTGGGAGGAGATTGCTGTTTTGCAGTCTCTTCATGAAGAGCAACTATTGGAGCACTTGTGGGCAATCTTAATTCTTTAATTCTTCTCCTTGTCTAGAGAAAAATTACAAAGAACATGTTTCTCTAGCTCTTTTATTCAGCTGCAATCACTGGATCCATTCTGAGCAGAGCCACCTTCAGTTTGCTATTTCTTTTCCCAAAGTCCAGTAATTAGCAACACTTCTTCATCCCAATCCTGGTCATAGTTCATCATACCCAAGGCCATGTAAATTGTTACGGCTTCTGAGACAGAATATTCAACAAGGACTTCTCTCTCTGACAATAAAATTCCAATGATAATTAATTGAAGCCTTTTCACAATGCCAAATATCTACTAGAGCCAGCTACCTCACTTTAATGAATTCGCCATAATACATCACAGGTTTTCATCATTAGCCTTTCTTCAATAGTAGAAGTTTGGCATTTCAAAGCCAAAAGATAATTTACTCAAGATGTTTTTGCTTAAATGACACCTTGTGATTAATACCATTTAGGCAATCTTAGGCATTTTTCCAAACTAAAGATTGCAGTTATTAGGGAAAAATCTGTAGACTAGCACTTGCTAAGTACCTCATAGTGAGGGAGTGGGGTCAGGGGCAAGAAGGGTGGATGGATGATGGATGAACAACCTCATTTCACCAGTGTGGCTAGGCCAAGCTGGATTCAATCTCGGTTCTGCTTGGAGAGAAGGCTTCACTAATCCCCTTTGGCAAAGTGGGGGTATAAAAATTGAAAAAGTATAGCTTTAAGATAGATTTGGTCAATTGCACAGTTCAATCCTAGTTATATATTCTAAAGGTTCTATTGATTTCAGTTAGGAAATATTTATTTCTGTTTATCAGTTTTGACTCTATTTTATTTTTTTAGCTTAGGCTGTAACTCAAAATGTAGAACATACATATTTGTAGTACTATTTCCTTTTCCTATTTTCTTCAATTCTGAGAAGTGGATTGGACTGAGAGAGATGACTGATCCAAAGTTGCCCAAATACTCATCCAGTTTATATGCTGAATTCACATCTCTTGGTTTCTTGGCCAGCACTTTAACCACTAGATCAAAATCTAGGTGTTTATCTCACTTTCCTTGGTTATAATTTAATTTAATTTAATGTTTTATAGCAATTAGTTATATTTTAACTGCCACTCTATCTGAACAGTTTGAAAATTGTATTTAATAGTCTAGATGTAATTTACATAAAATTATTCTGGTAAACCCAGCCAGTCTATATAGACTAATTATCAAATTCCAATTCTTCATTTCCAACAAGAAATGAACAACCAGACAAAGCCAGATATAAATCTTTTCCATTTAGAAGCAATTGTTTCCTTAGAAAAAGCCCCACTGGAACTTATTTTAAGCAGTTTCATATATTATTATATTGTATGCTATAATCTGCATGCCTAAATCCATTTCCCCAAAGGTGAATCAAACTGAAGTTGTTATGTTTTCTTTCTGGATGGACACACATCCTAATGTTTGTGGAATGTACCTAGCAATTTGATATTATAACACAAAGTTGAAGAAGAGTCAAGTGAAGAAGGGTAAGAGGCACAAAGGACAAAATGTGCCTCACAACAGTTTTTTTTTTAAATATTCATAGATGTTGCAGTGCAAGTGTGAAAGAACAACACCCGTGTTGTTATAACATAATAACATGCATTTTTAACATAATAACATGCATTTTGGATGTAGTTTGGAATGAATAAAAGTGGCTAGGGAGATATGTGACTCCATTTTTATGACTAGATTCATACATGATGCTCAGCTGTAATGTGGTTGCTTGTTTTTGGCTTAGCATATGAACCAAGAGTACTTTATTCTTTCAAGCATGATTATGAAAATTCTGATTTAGCATAGTTTTTTTTTTTAATTACATTGAGAATATAGTATAGACCAATTCTTGTGCTTTGTACCAGAAATTGGGTATATGTCCTTTCTGAAACATATACCGTAATTCTCATTCTATTCATTCATTATGGAGAAAGTTCTTGCTATCAAAGTCAGGAGCTATGTTCTGAGTTTTTTTAATTGTTTAGCCTTGTATTTTCTGGAGAAATTTGTTGAAACAATTTTTTAGAAATTTTCAGCATTGATTTGGCCAATAAAATACCAAAATGGCTATGCATTGCCTTTAGGAGGCTTTCAGAGAGTTCCTGGGGGCTGGGGAGGGCAGAAATGAGTGGAAAATGGCCTGTTTTTTGCTCACTTTTGCCCCCACAGCCCCCAGGAGCACTCTATAAGCTTCCTAATGCCTTTTTTGGACGAAAAACAGACCCATTTTTGTGAAAAACGGGCTGTTTTTTCCTCATTTTTGGCTCCCCACCCCCCATAGGAACACTTTAAAAGCCTCCTAAGGGCTATTCATGCCATTTTTTGAAAAAAAAAGGGCCAGTTTTCGCAAAAACTGGGCCGTTTTGGGGAGGTTTGCAGAGTGCAAAAACTTTTTTTTAAATTTGCCACTTCAAAACTTTGGTGCGTCTTATACTCCGGTGCATCTTAAATTCTGAAAAATACGGTAGTTATCTTTAAGTAATGAGAGATACGTTGTCAAGCATACTGCTGGGGAACACTGGGAGTTGAAGCCCATGCATATTAAAATGGTCAAGTTGGAAAAACACTACATTATTAAGCACTTATGTAAAGCTTTTAGCTAAGTTCTAAATTGTTGATTGTGATCTACGTTTGCTTTTGTTTCTCTTGCAGGTGGATTTTTAATCCCATACTTGATTATGTTAATTGTGGAAGGAGTGCCATTGTTATTCTTGGAATTGGCAGTGGGACAAATTATGCACCAAGGGAGCATTGGCACATGGAATGCTATAAGTCCTTACCTCTGTGGAGTTGGTGGGTTCTTATCCATCTATTGGTTGCTTTTTTTGTTTAAAGAACAAGAGATAAGAATTGGTTTTTAATATACCTGCTAGAGATCCATTGTTCTGTCTATGGATTCTACAGGTAGTCCTCAACTTACAACTATTTGTTTAGTGACAGTTTAAAGTTACAACAGCACTGAAAAAGTGGATAATGTCTGATTTTCACAATTGTTGGGAAACCTATTGCAACATCCCCATAGCCAGGTGATCAAAATTTGGATGTTTGGCAACTGACTCATATTCATGACTCTGCCAGTGTCCTGGGATTATGTGACTTTCTGATAAGCGAAGTCAATGGCGAAGCCAGATTCACTTAACAAATGTTACTAAATTAACAACTGCAATGATTCACTTAACAACTGTGGCAAGGAAAGTTGTAAAATCGGACAAAATTCACTTAACAAATCTCTTATTTAACGACATAAATTTTGGGCTCTGTTGTGGTTGTAAGACGAGGTCTAGCTGTAATAAGTCTGTAGACATCTTGTTCTCACTTTTGCAACTCAAGCTTTGATGAAGGGAAGGACAAACAATGCTTTTTTCTTTAAAAAAATCTACATGCACAATTTCCATCCTGTCAATTTATAATCAATCTTTTTTAAATTTTAAATTGTTAATTCAGGAAAAACTTGAAATGTTTTCAAATAAGCAATTTTTGCCAGTCAAATCCTTGGCAGCCTTATAAATTATTATAACATTTGGATCTAATGGATGGGAAAATTAACTTTAAACTGATGTAGGCACACAGTAATTAAGATATGAATAAGAGCAGTTGACCCTTTCAATCTGAGGTGTCATGAAAAGACACAGGTAAGACTGGCTAAGGCAAGCAATTGAGCTAACTGATTATAACAGTATAAATTATGAAGAGGAGGAATTAAGGTTAGGTACAACTTACTTATCTTTAGAATGGTTTTTCCTGCCCTAAGCTACTAGCCTTCTAACATTATGTAACACAATCCACAAGGTGTTGATTGGAATGCTTTTGGCCAGGTCAACTCATCCATGAAGAAATGGCACTATTTTACAGAAATTATTGATTTGCTGGAAAGAAGTAGAGAGGATTCATTTGGTTCTATGCGGTGCAGGCTATTAATTGTCGCAATGTGAAAAGCTCTTTGTTCAAGATTCCAACTATTCCATTCCATTCCTTTGAAAAATATTTAGGGTTTTTTTGTTGCCATTTCCTGCAGGAAAGATCCTATAGTTCTTCTCTAATGAAAATGCTTCCCTCTTCCATTTCCTCACTATTTCAAACTTTTGCTACCAAAATTTGCAATAAAATCCAGAAAATAGAATGATAGAGAAGAATCTACTATTTTAATGGCCTATCATTCACTCTGGGTGTTCTTTTTATGTGAAACATTTCATGGAAATAATTACAAGAAAATATGCAAAGGAGGGGATTAGTTAGATTAAGACTGTGCATCTCCCAAAAATGATTCATTAGAAGTGCTGCAAGCTTTATAACAGTGCCAGCACTGTATCAAACCTTCTCAGGAGTGTAAGCACTACATCTGGGCTGCTAATTAGAGCAACCATTAATTTTAAGGTTTCTGCATGAGCTGTACAAATATAATCCTGACAGAACAATTAATAAATGGAACACTTGCCTCCAGAAACTGTGAATGCTCCAACACTGGACGTTTTTAAGAGGATGTTGGATAACCATTTGTCTGAAGTGGTGTAGGATTTCCTGCCTAAGCAGGGGGCTGGACTAGAAGACCATCAAGGTCCCTTCCAACTCTGTTATTCTGTAAACTGTTTTAAGCAGTCAATTTGTTAAAGCAATTCTTAAGTCACTTACATCTTTTTAAAGTTTGTACGGAGACCTTTAAAAAAATCTGAGATTGTTTTGAAAGCATCCACATTTCTGTTGATTCTTTCTGAGGGGGTGTTGAAAATGATCAATTAATTATGTTTGCCTGACTTATTTTTCTTGTTTTCAGGAATTGCCAGTGTTGTTGTGTCATTTTTCCTCTCCATGTACTACAATGTTATAAATGGCTGGGCATTTTGGTATCTTTTCCATTCATTTCAGGTGGGTCAAACAATGTCTTGAACTTCAGCAATGTGTCAGTTATCTTCCTTTCTTGTAGGATGTTGTGACTGAACAGGTTGAGAGAGAGAGTGTGTGTGTTGTATTGCTAAGGGCTTCTTTTCATATTCCTCACTGTGGCATAAACATACTGCAGTCAACAATAATTATTTGATGTTATGCTTCCTCAGCCCACAACTGTGGCAGCTTTATGTTGTATTTCACTTTTAAATTATCATTGTCCATCTTTTACTGGCAGAATTTTTGCCATGAGTGTGATCTAGCTATATGTCTTCACAAGGGACAAAGATGGGACAATTATCAATAACATGTATATGATAATGCCATCATGCAAATTCTATGACTTATCTACTTGTAGCAGACATTGTGGTGCAGGTACATAATTGTGGCATTTGCATAATGGAATCATTGCACACAACCTCATGTTTGATGTCATTGTGGTTTGTTGCAGATGCCACTGGTTCTAGCAAAATTAGCTGAATATGTGATTACTAACCTTATCTGGGTTGGGGAATCTGTCCAGCTCTTGCAGACTACTTTAGGTTGTTGTGAGCATATCCTACCTCTCTGGTTACAGGATACAGCGCTCCATTGACATTTTGGATTGGTTTTAGAAGACAGCAAATATCTGGTATGCAACATCTGCCCATGTAATGCATAACCAGTGCTGTCTGAAATAACAGTGAAATAAATACATTTTGCAATTAAACAAAATAATCTCTCCCTGAAGTCATATATTGGATTTTACTGATAGGTTTTGGCAACATTTTATGATGTTCTACACAAAAATTCTAATTGCATAATATTTCTTGGACTTGGGTTGTTCAGAGTGCACTAAGATAAAATCTGAATATATGACCAAACAAAAAACTTCCCTGCAATAACTGTCATGACCTCTCACTTTGCTGTGCAATAGCAGTATCTATTGTGTGTGTGTGTGTGTGTGTGTCAGAACCTCTCCATTAGATAATTAGGAAAGAAGACCACGAGA